GCGCGCCCATACAATATGTACCAACAAACTCGGTCGATAAAATCGGTTAGATTATTTTAAAATCGTATAACATATATCAATGGCTTTCTATTTGAACATGCACAATAAACCAACTGGTTCAGCTTTCACTTTTCGAACGAACGTACGACGAAATGTCAATCCAAGTTCGTTTCATAACGGTTTTATCTGCACACGGGGGTGCTTTTTTATGTACCAACTACTATAAGATATATCCCAGAATCCGTGAAAGTTTTCCATCAATTGTCCACTTAGACACGGAGAAAGGAATTACAGTACCAAAGTAGAAAAGTTACCTTAGTATAATAAACGATATAACTTTTCTACATAATTAAAATTCGCATAAAGCAATTATCAACATATTTATTAGTATTTTCTTAATATTTTCCACTATTTCGCCCTACTTCGCAATATTTCGTCCGCATTTCCTAAATATTATATAGTTGTATATATAAAAGTTGTATATATAATATCTAGAGCAAAAGGCCAAAATTAATTAAATCCATTACTATTCAATGATTCAACGTTTAGAACAGAACATTAACAGAGCCGAATTTTAGGCATTAGATTTAATATTTACTTTACGACTACATAAAAAAATTGCTGTTTTAGCATTTTTCTATGTATTATATATACAGTTTCCCTTTATTCCAAAAAATGTAAAATTAACTTTTAAAAAAAGTTTATATTATTAATTTCACAATTATTTTAGACTTGAAGAAGAGCAGATCGTTCGTGCTCTTTGTATTTCATACATGAATTAACTCCGCAACAATGTCGTTTTATTTTATTAATACCAAAGCAATTATCACAATGGCGTCCACCAAATAATGGCGAACATTAACGTAAACATCAGTTTTAATAACATTGTTTGAGTTTATTTATACTTATCGCAATATACATACTTCCAGATTATATTTTCCGTAATACATTACCCACACAAAAACTTACCCTAAATCAGTGAAAATATCTAGGTATTAATTTTTTTTTAACAATGCAAAAAAAGCACTAACAATAACAATACAATAACAAAAAGTATTTCGTGACATAACTACTTAGAACACTTGCTTTTACAGACAATTGAATTGAATTGAATTGAATTGAAATTACCCTGCCACTGCTATTGCTACTTTAACAATTCGCTAGAAGTTTGCAGATAGCAGTGCAAACCTACTTTTCCTTTAAAGGGCATAAACATAATATGTCAAGCTAATCTCAAGCTAGTCTCAATATATTGGCGTACTGAGGTGGCGAGTATTATTCAAAAACCAAATGAGAGCGCTAAGATAAAACTAGAGAAAAAATCTTGGACAGTTAGCATTAATACATCTCACTATACAGTGAACAGTGAAGAATCACCATCTACTTCAGATATATAAGGCGGCCGTCCTACAACCTTAGTCGTTTCCCGCAATTCAGTCTCCATATTTCTCTATTGTGGCAATCCTTTTCGTTCATTTCTCTATTTCTCATGGCATCTTGAATTCCTTCTGTCCGAGATTTGCGGAGTCTCCCTCTTTACCTCCTATTTATCGGTGAATATTCTAAGAGTCTTCTGGGGCGACCTGTATCTGTCAATTCTGTTTATATGGCCATATCATATCAGCTGTCTGCGTTCTGTTCTCTTTAAAATATCCTCTTTCAGATATGTTCCAATCAGGATACTGTGGATGCTCGTCTCACAAATTCCATTTCTTCAGGTTTTGAGTCGTTCTAGATGTTATCTGCTAATTTTATAATCCATATTTGGTGATGGGTTCCAAACTAGCTTTGTAAATATTGGTTTTCGTTGTCCTTGTGATATTTCTTGACCACAAAATGGAGTTCAGTTGTTGAATAGAAAAGGATTGGCGAATGGCATATATCAGTTCGATTCACAAGAAAAACATGTGGCAATTATAGGGGCATCGGCGTAACTAGCTCTATAGGAAGACGGTATGGCAGAGTCTTGACAGGTAGAACAGATGAGACCCGAACGGATTCCGAGCCGGTCGATCCTGCTTGGATAATACTTTAGTAATTCAACAGCTTGTGGAAAAAGCAAAAAGCATATGATAGCGGGCCAATAAGCAAATTGTTCAAAATTTTACATGATTCTGAAATAAACAAGACATATGTGAGAGCACTGTGAAACATGTGTTTCCTCCGCCCTCTTAAAAATATATATCCGAATGAGATGGGAATACCAATATGGGAAAAATGCCTGCACATCTAGTCGTCGGAGGACACCTTTCAAACATACAACTCGGAAGAAGTACAATTAAAGGCTGCAGAGAGAATAAGTAAAGTCTGTTCATAGATATAAGAAAGTCTCTAACTGACACGAATTAAGGAAAGACCCGGGCAATCTATAAGAATGAAATATGGCCGAACAGAATAGTACTTTGCTTAGATTTTAATTATTTGGGGTTTTGTTAGGTAAGATACTAAACAATATTTATTTATTTATGTATGCATTTATGTTTAAATCTAAAATAAAATTTTAAATTATTTTGATTACCTAGTGAAATTAATTAAAATTATTCACATAATATATCAGTATCACTATCGCTATCATCGCCTGTTGTAATTATTATTTGTTCTATATTATTTGCAATATGGATATATGATTGTTCTGCTTTTCTATATGTTTAACAGAATTTGCCCAACTTTGTGGAGGTATGTTAAAAACTTCGGTTTCTATAAGTTTAAGGACATTGGAGTTAACACGGGGAACAACATTGTTACGACGAATGGCAGATTTTATTTGGTGCCAAACATGTTCAATGGGATTAAATATACAGTGGTAAGGTCTTTAATTGTATCCCCTAGATTTTTTGCATAATTATCACAGACGTATTCCTTTTGTAGGTTCAAGCTTTGTAGAACCTCAATTAATTGCTTTTTGGTATAATCTTCGTGAAAATAAATGTCGTTATTATACATGCAGTTTTGGATTGTTGCTTTTGTGTCACATGAGGAAGAGGGTTTTAGTCAGCTGTCTACTGTGATAACTTGCATTGTCCATTACAAGGACGCTATTCGGAGGAACGTTTGGAACTAGTTTGTTTTTAACCCAACTTTCAAATAAATCAGCGGTGGTGTCTTCATGGTAATCCAGAGAAGAATCTTTAATATTTTTCGCAGGCAGAACAAGTCCATTTGGAATCCAACCATCTTTAGAGCCAGCATTACCTCTTTTTGATGGCGCGTTTGTTTTACACTTATCAATCAACCCAACCCTTTTCCGGGGTATCATAAGTGTCGAACCAGGTTTGATCCAAGTAAATAATTGCCCTTTGTTCTCTGTAAATAGTATTTTTTTCTAGATATTCCAGTCGTCATTTCCGATTTCTAAAAGATTCCATTAAAGCTTGCCTTTTGTAATTTTTTTAAAATCTAAAACCCATGTTTTGAGAATACACACACTTCCATAAGGTAGTTCTGCCACATTTAACAACGGTTTCATCTTTTTCCAGCCTCCTAATTAAGATATCTAATGTAGGCACGCTTTGTTCTTCGTATAAGTGGTAAATTTTACGCCGTATTATAGCTTTCATCTACACTCGAGAAAATGTCAGCATCACTTCTTTTTTTCCTCGCTGAAATGGGATTATTCACAATTTTCCATACAGTTGATGTTGGAAGTTTCGTCAATGTGAACGTTTCTTCTAAAAATGCTTGCTTGCTGGCACCACATTCAATGAGAATCAAATAAACATTGTTTATAACTTCCTTAGTTTCAATAGAATAGTGTTTTCTACATTTGGGCGGGAGCATCTCCTGAGATACATTAGACTAGCACATATTTTGCATAATTCGCACACGATTCAACACACGCTGTATTACACACGAAATACGAATGATTACTAATAAACTTAAACTAAGTAGTATGCCAAACCAAAGAATATTAAACACAGGTAGGTATAAATTTATTTTCTATTACGGACCACAATTTTACCTGAATTTAAATTCCGAAACTTTAGGTAATAATCTTGTTGCATTGTATGTTAATGACTACCCTTGGATAATCCCATTCAAAAGCAATTGGTCACTATCTATGAACAGACCATACCTAGAAAACTACATTAGTGAAGACGGGAACATCGAAAGAGATATTACACAAGGTCGTAGAACGATTCAACTTCAGATATTATTTTGTTAAAAGGAACCATAAAATGGACAAGATTGAATTAATTTGCAATGCATCATAATTCTCTTTTTCTACTCCCTAGTCTAAACTACCCATTGCACTGATCAGGCGTGAGCAAGGTTTCAGTAACTTTAAACGTGGGTTGGAAGTGATTGTGATTGTTTTGGTTGATATTTAAAATATTGATGGTATTTTGACGTTTATCAGTTCGGCATTCATCATGTTTACTCCTTATTATATTCGTTCCTGTTGGATACGGCATTTTAGGCAAGTGAATGATTCGCATGACTAACCAATTAATATGTTACTTAATAGTTTATCTATGTAGTGCATCGATGTAATTTATTTCAATATTCTGACACCTAATTGCACAATTTAATGAGACGCATTGTATAAACCTGGAGAAGAGCATATAAATCATAATATTATTAACACATAACTCCGAATCACTTTCGCCGTCAAAGCGGCCAAATTTAAATGCGAGCCTGTAATTAATTTCGCCTATAATACGGACATCATCCGATAATTCGCAATAATAACCCCCCAATCGGCGGTAAATAATTTAGCAATAAATATTGCTCCGAGCGTATCGCAGACGCCGTTATTAACGACGGACCGAGTTAAAACGCTGATTATAAATTATTAAACAATTTACATCGCGTCGGGGTTGGCAACGATTCCACGTCGACATCTGTCAGGGTAACGCGACTAATTCGTCCTTAATGGGTCCGATAATTTTGTCAAACTATGAAACAACCGATTTACATCCGAACATGAATTTTCGACGTCGATCGGCTGTCACGAAAACGCGCGCGTTTGACAATATTTTATTATTAATAGCAATCAAAGATTACTCATGTTTGCTCGAAGAATCTCTCCTAAAGCTACCGAACTCTTCCCACGGTGAACTCAAATCGAATCGGCGAAACTCTTGGCTAAACTCCACGGGTTCCACAACCACCCGTTTCTTTTCGTCGTCATATCTAAAATATTTCTTTGAAAACTGCAGATAATTTTGGCCAGCTCTTCTGCTTACCAACTTAGCATTGTCAGCAGACGATATGAACAAAAGCCTCTAGGTCACACTTACTCTAATCATGGACAAAAACATTCAAATTTTATGCATATTTTATAGATGTATACATGTATCAAAACAAATTGTTTGTACATTGGCACAACCCCCTACCCCCCTTTCCTAGTTACATAAAATTTATACTTCTGAATCTTAAATTTTCAAAAATGCTTTTTCCAATTGAAATTTCTTTATGTTGACTATAACTATATTCAAATCTAGAGCTTTTAATTTAATTGACACTTTGTTAAACAAGAGAAGTCCACAATAGGTTATAATTCTAATAAAAGCTCATGTCACCATGTTTACTACGCGAATTATAATCGTCGATCAAATGCTTTTCTTTACGGAACTACAAAAAGAAATAGATGTATAACATAAAGTATGGTTTTATAGGTATCATCGGCTTATTCTATTTGTAAAAATACTTTCACAAATCTCATCTGTGTAAAAAAGTAATACGCAGGATACAAATTAAATTAGAATAAAAAATGTTCAGATTATCACAGTTTTTAATACTTTATGACAGCTGTTTCGGCAACACCGTGCATTTATCAAATACAAAATATATACGACGCTTATATACAAAAACAGGTAGTAATAGAATTTTTCATTAAATATAAATTCAACAACGGAGACGGATTTAAATCCAATTGGTCATCAAGTAATAAATTCGAATATCTCCTTTTGTTAATCTCCATAGCTTTCAGCAAATTTAGTTTTTTGCTTTTTGAATAATTATGTAAAATATCAAAATTGTCCTCAAAGTTGTGCATTTCTGAATTTAAATGAATGGCATAGTTAGAATCCGAACTTTTATTTTTATATGCCGTTATATGTTCGTTAATCCGTTTCTAAAATGTTCTACCTGTTTGTCTGATATAAATTGTGGGACAGGATCATCCACATTTCAACTTGAAGACTCTAGATTTTTGAGTTTTTCGTAATTTAGTTTTATTGTTATTTAGTGTCCTATGGCGTTTTCAGTTTTTAGATAGATATTTCGAAATTTTCTTGCTAGGTCCTCCTATGTATTTTATTGTTTTATAAATGTGTTTAAAACCTTAAAAACTGTAAAAATCTGAACATTTTTGATCTAATTTCATTTGTGTTAAATGGATTTTCATCAAGTAAAAGCCACCTCCGTCCGATAATACGTAGGAGCAGAATGGCCCCAACCATAGGAACATTTGGAAAAGAACATGGAGTGATAAGCTACCATTAGCGCAGAATCACGTACGAGTCCTTTCATTGATCTAACTAAAAATATATTAAATATGATAAACGTGGATCAAAAGGAAAGCCAAAGTATTTTATTGAAGTTGGATTGACAGAATTATTTTTTCTATAAGTAAATACTACCCGCTAGTCCACTACAGCTACTATAATTCAATATTTAATTTAAAGATAAAATGACCTAATCCTTATGTATTCCAGCTGTGTTCGTCCGCGAACATTAATCAAGACCCTTAGTATTTAGTGTTATGTCGCTGCGATTGAATAAAATTACAGCTATTAAATTAATGCCTAGAACAGAAAAATTGCAGTGTTTTAGTTTATGTAACAATATATTTGGATTTACGCAGTCAAATACATTTTGAAGGTCAAGTAAGAGAGCCAACAATTTAGTTGTATCTCATAACTATTTCTATTTCCGACACAAGCTCACTACCAACTTCTACAGTTGCTTTTGCGTAACGGAAACCAGACTGTCTGTTCTAACATAATAAATAGCTTCGAAAAATGATTTACTACCTGGGTTTTTAAAAGAGATTGAAATATTGAAAAGAGTGATAAAACATGTGGAGTAACCCTTACAGAGGTGTGAGGGATGGATTCCTCGGTCTCGGTTCAATACCTGTCCGCCATGCTTGACTGACTAAAAGGTCTTCAATGCGCCTACTAACCTGTTAAGAGTTTAATTATCCTGGATTTAATAATCCGCTGTGAATGCTTTTCGAAATACATTAGTCGGGATACGTGATAAAGAAACAATTTTTGAACTAATTTCGGTTTTATATGATACTTTATGGACCATGTTTCAAACATCTTTTCTAGTCCTCTCATATCGTAAGGCAGTTTTATCCTCGGCTTTTTTTTTGTGATCCTAGCTGAAGACTAGTACCCTCCAGTAATAATTCCTCCAATTTATTAGAAAAGTTTTATCAATATGGGCTACCAAATAGCATAAAAATCAGACAAGAGCTTCAAAAAAAGCTACTGGACAATTTTAAAGATAGATAGGATATTAAATATAATTGCGATCTAAAATACGTATACGAGGATAGGTTCAATATATGTTCGATTTAAAGAGCATATTATCACATTTTAATATATTGGATTCTTTTCTTAATTGCATGTAATTAAAGACAGAAATTTGGCAAGGATAGTGTCATCGAAACTACATCGCAAATTATACCGTCCAAGGGTCAGTTTACTTCAGTTCATATCATCTGCTGATCATGCGAAACGCGCTTCCAGTATGTCGCTTTAGTTGAATACTAACCTAGCTGCCACGTATCCGCTTACGGGAAAGTCTTTACGCAAAGGATGCCCTTCGAAGCCGTAATCGGTCATAATTCTACGTAAATCCGGGTGGTTCGCGAAAAACACTCCGTGTAGGTCCCAGACCTCCCGTTCAAGCCACTCTGCCGACTTGTAGACGGAGGTTGCAGATTCGACTGGCGTAAGTTCATCCGTGTACGTTTTAAGACGCACCCTCGAGTTGAATCTAAGCGAGAGCAAGTTGTAGATAACTTCGAATCGGTTAGGCCTGGAAGGCACGTCGATCGCACAGATATCCATGAGACACTGCATTTGGCTGCTTTGATGATTCTTGAGAAACTCAAGTACCGGTATCAAACCATCAGGTACCACCATCACTTCCAATTCTTTGCAGTGGTTCATTTGAATCAACTCCACGTATTTGGGTAAACATTCCGCAACGTATGATCCGAAATCTTTAAGTTGGTCCTCTTCTGAAACTCCAGCTGATGGATTTTCAGGGCATGATGCTCGTTGGCACGTGAATCTGCTTTGCTGAAAGTACTGAGTAGATTTCACAAACGTTCTTATAATGGGAAGCTGCTTCAATTTTGCAACTGGGGAAAGCATCATTACAATGTCACGCTAATTGTTAAGTATGACAATAACGTGGCACTGTCATGAGCGTGCTGCCAATAAATAATAAATCCACAGAAGACAGTACTAACATTAGAAACACAAAAAAATTACTTCAAATATGACTTAATTTCTTTAAATAGTATTATAGTATATATAGTATTAGTAGTATTATGCAAGTCCGGTAAACTGCATTTGACTCACGAGTTTGAGACGAGCGGAGCGAGTGTTTAATAAAATAAATAAAATTAAAAAAATTAAAAGTTTACCGAACGTGATGCATACTATAGTTTTTCTACGACGGTTAGTTTTTGAGTACATTTTCGCAAAACAACACGAATACATTCACTGTCAAAATTCAAGACGGTGGAAATATCTCCGAATTCATCCGATTGCTTCCAAACCAGTGCGGTAAAATCCCGGAAATGTCCGAAGTGGCTCGGATCCGTGGGAACGCTTCCCACACACTACATCGGTGTGTAATTAGGTATTTTACAGACCTTTTTTAAAAATTCATATTAAATTTTAACATGTTTGAAAATTTTAACACTGCATTTTGATGTTGATGGGTTGTTGATCATGGGGTTATTACCATTTCGGAGTAATAATTTGTATTTAAACTTATAAAGCACCATAATGGTAAAGAAACATATTGGCTTCAATCACTTTTACCGATTTTAGGAACGATTCGTCTGATTTCTGAATTAAACAGTAATACAAATTTTAACATTATAACCAGTTGTAAAAATTAATGGCCAGTTGAAAAAAAAAACAATTAGCAACTGAATTTATTTTTTTCGAAGCAATGAAAACGTATTTATCCATCGGTTTACTACCAAATCAACCAAAATTTAATTATTAAAAGTAGCTCAACTTTCTACTGTTAATTATGGTGTTAGTTGAAAATGCAATTAAATTAAGATGGCGCTGTTTCAGCAATCAGCTGTTAATGGAATTTAATGAACCGATGCTGGAATTTATTAGTCAATAGTTTCGGTTAGAATAAATAATTGCTGGATGATGTTTACAATAAAGTAACTTTCATATCAGCAAAAAGTATACTTATTGATGGAGCATCAACTTTAGCTGAAATAACGAAAACTGTGTAGATGAGCCAATCATTTGTTTTATAAATATATAAATGTAGCGCAACAGAAATAAACGAAATTATTAATACCCATCAATCTTCTTTTAAATTAATTATCCAATATTGTTATTTATATATGTTGTATACATATACACCGTAAAACAATTAAAGCAAATAAATGAATATTGATAAATAACTTCATACCGGCGTGATTACGTTATGCACTTGCCATTCGCCGTTATTTATACAACTAATAAAATTTTCAATCTCGTTTGGAATACATATTTAATATCATAATAAGCGTTATTAATGAAAGAAAATTAAATTTTTCATATATTTGTATACCTACCCCATGTCGGATGAAAATTGCGCACCACCTGTTTTGCGTTGTATTAAAACAATAATAATTAAATATTTCGTTTGTTTAATAGCACGTATTTGGATAGGAAGTTATATCTATATCGCAGTAATTAATATGCCGCAATTCTATGCAGTGGGACGAAAGGTACTTTTATTTTTTCCACGCTTATCATAAATATTTAACTCAAAAACTAACAATTTTGAAACTTAAGTAAGGAATTTCAAAACAAAAGTAACTTTCTACCCAACCAAATAGCTTTTCGTCTTCGTCGCCATTATTTCGAATTTTACCATCTCGAAGAATAAAAGTCCGTTTTTAACTCTATTAAAAAACTTTTCAAATTTCATTTCGCCAAATTATATCTTTATCTCCTTCCAACTTTGGCCGTTACGTCGTTGATAAAAGTGGAAAGGGTAATATTATCTGACGGCATAAAATTTTCGTAGCAGTGCCGAAATCCAATTATGTGAAGTGATTTATTGCTAATAGGTTCGCTCACATCCCTTTTATGTGAGATCGCCTCCCACGGCCCGCTCCATCCCCACCCCCCCTTTTTTATTCCGCTTTTGCCCCCCCTTTCTTTTAACTTCTGTTGAAATGCAGACACAAAGGCTTTTAAAATGGAAAAAGCACCAAAGCCTCTATCGATTTTTTATAAAGTGCGATAAGCTAATATGAAAGCAGATGCAGACGAAAGCATTCGATTCAGTAATACAGTGTGTCCCATCATAATTAATAGTAAAACTGCCGATTTCATAGCTGAAAATCTTAAGATTTTCGCATGAAGATTGTAGATGGCGCTATTTCGATTAAATAAAATCATAAATCAATTAAATTTTTGTGCCCTAGTATTTAAGTTTTTATGAAAAATATCACTTTCCTCATGGTTTTTAGGAGTATAAAGTTTCCAGTGGATTTAGATTTGCAAGAAATTCATTGTCCAATGTTAAGTTTAATTTGATTTTTTTTACTAATTTTTGTATGTTTTGAACCATTATTTTTGATCGATATAAACAAAAAAACATGCAAAATCATATAAATAAAAAACGTTCAGTTCATTTTTACCAGACAAGAAAAATATGAAGGTTAAGAATTGGAATTTTCCCCTTCTTTTAGTACCGTTTAGTTATACGTTAACTGAAGTTGAACTTAAATTTTTAGGTAATCTCAAGTTTGTCAGAGATGAGAAAACGATTACGTGCAATTAACAATAGTTTTATGCCATTGTTAATTTAGAAAAAAAACTTCGGTAGCTGATACTTCCGGTGACGTCAATTTTAAAATTTTCGAATAGCACAATTTTTATAACAACATGTGGCGTCAAAAAAAAATGAGCAAAAAACTTCCATAACAAATCCTTGTTGTTTCCACACGATGATTTATTAGCAAATTTAACTTCATTTAGAATGTCTAACCTGCAAGAGAATGTAATTTAATATATTCAGCAATGTTGCTATTACAAAATCTTATTTTGATATTTTCTATTTTTCCTATCGGAAGCTGTTCTACGCATAATGATTGGGGTTTTTTAAAATAATTTAAAACCAGTGATGTTCGTAATTATTTTTCAAAATTATCCACTTTTTGTAAGGAGGTCATTGCCTAAAAAAATTGAAAAATCTTCTACATTAATATTTAAATCGCTATTTTCTTAAAACTCGTCCTCGTTATTTGAACCACCGATCATGGCTTTAAGAAGAGTAGTAAATTAACTACTGTAAAAATAGGAAAAAGAATCGATTTCCGTCAATGCTGAAATAATCGGCAGCTTTTTGTCACATCAACATCAAAACCACGGTAATAAAGACGGAACGGAAAAGATAAAAAAAATGTAAATAAAAGATCCCTTGCATTTCATTTTAAATTTAAATATGGGAATTGGGAGACGGGGAAAAGTCCTGTTGATGAATTTACGTTTTAAAAGATTTACTGACTGGATTAAATTAGCTTTTAAGCCCGGCACGAATTTTAATCAAATCGCGACGCTCGTCGCGCGGGAAAACGGGGGGGGGGGGAGGCTGAGAGAGTGAAAGACGGCAATCTGAAAAGGTTTAAATGTAAATATATTTAATAATTGGAAGTTCATGAATGAATTATTTTGAAAAGTACTAACTGAATCGATCATTGTTGAAAAGGAATTCACCCCTTAGATCTACTTTAGAAATGCAGATGAATCTGGGAATTGCTAAAGATAGGAGGGGATAATATCAAAAAGAAAGCAGGTGAAATCAGAACTAGTTCGCTATTTAGATATCAATTTTTTTACTTAAATATAATGAAAAGGCCATGTTAAAGAAATATTAGATATAAGTAACCAAGTCTTGTCTTTTGACATGTCACAGTAAATCGGAATAAATTGTGAGCTTCTAGTCGGTCAATATTTTTTCGGCGCAAAAACGGGTAAAAAATTTGAGGTCTACTGTATATATCTGCGAGCATAATAAATAACAATAATAGATAACATTTGAATAAGTAGAGAATTGAATTCTAGATTGAAGCAGGAAAAATGAACCACATTCCAACAATATGGAAATGATTCACAATCCAAGTTTTGATTTCACGGGTAAGTGGCAATTATTTTGTTTTTTTTTTTGGGGCACACACGCGTTAACAAAAGTCCTCTAAGCAATACAACTTCTCGAGCTTATCAACTCAACAATTTTAGAACTTTACGAATTGCATTTTTCCAAATAAATTAATTTGAAGAATAACAACCATATTTTTATCAAAATTAATAATTAATTTACTAAGTTTTTTTCTATGAAACTCCTCCACCGGGAACCATATTGACTACTAAATGAGTAATTACGAGGATAAAAAATTTAAGTTATTGACGGATAAAGTTTTCCAGTTGGCCAATAAATAATAAGCAAGCGACTAACTAAAACTAACTAGCCGAGAGAAAGATGATGGCTTTTATATGGATTTTTTGAAAAGTTTATTTTTATTCGGTGTTGCTTAAAGAACTATGTTCTAGGGGAACGAAAATAAAGTCCACTAATTAAACCTGAAAATATTTTAACAGTTTCACATGTTTTCTATATAATGCTAGTTCTGTACACTATGTTACTTAATTAAACACTCACGTGATTTTTAAAATAATTAAAGACGTTCATATCGAAAAAAAAAATTAATAATGTGCAATGTTGCGACGTGCTAATAAGTATAATTAACTTGAAGATTGTGTGTTTCTGTTGTTCACTCGAAAAGAAAATTAATACTTTTACGTACCCATTTCAATAGTGTAAATTGAGGTTATAGTCACGCCTGCCCGTGACTTACCTTTAAACTAGTTATATTATGTAGAAGTCGAGTCCTTACCTGAAAAGCAAAACAAAATATGTTAACCGATTCATAAAAATAACTAAGATTATATTTGTTTGACCACCGCAACTTTCAAATAATTTTCAAACAGAAAAAGTGGTAACCAAATAAACTAACAGAAAATATCATAAAATTCTTTGGTCGCGATGATGACCCAGAAACGTCAAAAGCGATATTCAACCTAAAAAATACACTATTAAAAATAAAAAAAATGTAGTGAGGCCAATGT